TCAATAATGGATTCTAGTGATGAAGAGGTTTTAGTTTTTTATCTATCAGTGCTGTACAGCACTAAAAGCAAAATATTGTAAAATATTGTCATCTTATGACTTTATAGACAGAACTAAGTTTGCTGGAGAAATTCTGAGCTCAAATACACAAATATTGGTATAATGTTATTGCAGTTTTTGAAAATAAGAGTAAATAAGACTTTTACTTTTATTTAAAATGATCCCAAATTGAATCTGATTATGGGCAACAACGTTTTTGCCTACTGATTGAGAATAAAATAGGTCATACAACATGTTTTGTGGATAATGTTACCGGCTTGCGATATATCATTGATATGAAGAAGGAACAGACTTGGTGATAACACGCAGTCTTGTGGAAAACCTTGTAACTTATGGAACGCCTGTAATCGGAGCATGCACCGTCTACTACGACCTTGATGCTCTGATCTGCAAGGAAACTCGGGATCCAATGGTACAATTTCTCGGATGCCCATAGGAAACAAAGCTTCGTTTGAAGCGCTTTGAGTCAAATATGATTGAAGGTCTTCACTATGTCCAAACTAACGGCCAACTCCTCCCACTTAAACTCTACTGTGTCTGCCCATCTATAAGTTGATAACTCAGAAGATCATCAGCTGAGCGACCCCGACGGAAACGATACTGAATGTCACTAGTCAGCTGGTGATCCTCAATGTTCCTCATGAGCTGGCAGTTACTAATTGTTACCATTACTTTACAGAACAAGGAGGTGATAGCGATAGGCCCGTAGTTGGACGGATCTGAGCGATCGCTTTTTTAGAGATCGGGTGTATTCAAGCTGTCTTCCATGAGTTCGGGACTATTCCCAGGGACTAGGATAACCTAAAAAGACGCGTTAAAACCGGTGCCAACACCGACACATGTCTTCAACACAATAGGAGGAACGCCATTAGGCCCACTCGACTTGTTGATGTCCAGGGAAAAGAGTGATCCGAGTACCGAGCGCTGGGTTAACAGCACATCATGCATGGAGCTCTCGCACTTCAGGATGATTGGCGGTGTATTCCACCCGTCATCAAGATTCGAGTTGGATACAAAGAGAAAGCCCAGCAGATCGGCTTTGTCTTTTGGAGCTTTGGCAATAGCTTAAGCTTAAATAGGCTTGGGGATAGTTGACAGAAGTTCCCTTGGACAGGCTTGGCGAGAGATCAGAATACACGCGTTCCCGAAGGAAGTTAAACTAGTTTCTCGCCAATGCTGCCGATGTACTCTGACTTTGCCGTAGCAATAACACTTTAAAAAGACCGTGGAATTATATTTCTTTTCAGGAGTGCTAGTATTTGCATCTCGAGCCGTCGATGCGTTAGCTCAGGCCCAGTAGCACTCCTGTTTATGGCGTGATGCAATTTTGCAGGAGCGACCAAACTATGGCTGGGTTCTGGCTCTGATGGGTACCACAGATGATGGTATAAATAGTTCCATTCCCGGTAGTACCACATCAGCAACAACGATGGGATCATACATCGAGCGGCAAACAAGGATGCAAAAAAATCGCAAACAATGGTCCGAAGAGCCAAGAGGGGCATCGATGGAGACCTGATATCGTCGAGAGGAGAGGTCAGCAGAAAGTCCAACAGGGAGAGTACATAACCTTTCTCATCTGGGATGCGCATAGGTGAGGTAATCAGTTGTGACAGACCATAAGCCAAAGCAAAGTCATAGACATATCTTTCAGCGTTGTGGGCGTGAAAATCACCAAGCATCACGATCTCTGGGACGTGTCCACGTGCAGCCATAAAATGGACAAGTTGGTACCTTTAAGGCTGCCGAGGCATAAAAATTAGATGTCCTCTCCAACGTACGCGCAAACTCCAGCCCAGGGTACAAAGGAGTGTTCTAATTTGTACCCCGGGTAAGAGAGATAAGAAGTATCAGCCGTAGAGGACACCTGTGTCTCAGTTAAAAGGAGCAAGGCTGGCTTATCCGTTTCCGGATGGTTGTAGGCGGCATTAAGGTTTGAATGAAGTCCCCTGACGTTGCAGATATTTACTAATGACGTGGTAGGGGGCGCCTTTGCCTTATTGCTCCGTTTGCCCCGAGCGGGCTTAGTCTCGAGCAGAATTTTGCCTCTCATCCCCATAATACGCGGGGCAGCCTGAGCACCCACGTTCAGGAAGAGTAGGGTAGCTTGGACGTGGATGCACAGCGAGTAATTCTTTGTTACCAGGGGTACTGGCACCCTCCTGGTGTTGTATTCTAATTAACTCCTCTACCATTTTAAGGAACTACCATGTTTATTTATTAGATAAAACAGATATCGTTCCATGCCGCCTCCTTTGGTTTAATACTCAAAGTTAGCAAGGATACTCTTAGACATAGTATACATTACCGTGCGTTTGCACTGACGCGATTTTCACAAAAAAACATGTTTTAAACACTGTTTTCTGTCAATGTATCAAAAAGCGTTTGCATAGCCAAGGAACATGTTTTAGTGAAATGTGTTTGACAGTTTATTGTACATTACATATTATAACTATATTATATCTATATATCTGCAGAAACAAAATGTTTGAAAACAAATTTGTAGAAATATTGTTATGTTGAAAGATAAGTTTGACGTTTTGTATTTGTAGACACTTTTTAATCGAGACAGAGAATTTTCAACAATAATGGGTTCAAGTGATGAAGAGGTGAATAATGGATTCAAGTGATGAGTGTACTGTACATTTACAACAAAAAAGAAAGAAATCGAGGTTCTGGACGCGCTTGCAATGTGTTTGACAGTGAATTCAACTCGGCTGGGCAGCGTTCGGAAAATTACGACGCATCTTCTCGTCAGGAATACCTCAAAACCTGAAAACTAAATTGTACAACCAGTGCGTGTTGCCAGTGATGACCTACTGAACCGAGACGTGGTCCTTCACTGCTGGCCGTATGAGGACGCTCAAAGTCGTTCAGCGAGCTATGGAGAGGGTTATGCTCGGAGTTTATTTGCGTGATAAACTTAGAAATGAGAACTCTAGTCCTCAGTAGAACCAGAGTGACCGACATAGCCCAACGGATTAGTAAGCTGAAGTGGCAATGGGCCGGCCATGTAGCTCGTAGAACCGTCAAACGTTGGGGAAATAAGGTTATCGAGTGGCAGACTCGTACCTTTAGGCGAAGTGTAGGGCGACCCCCCACTAGATGGAGTGACGACCTGGTAAGACATGCAGGTAGTCGATGGATGCAGGTGGCTCAGGAGTCCTGAGTCAGGACCGTGCTTTGTGGCATAACTTGGGGGAGGCCTATGTTCAGCAGTGGACTTGTAAAGGGCTGTAATAATGATGATGATGATGATACCACATATATATTTTGTATAAAGTTATCATTCGTCTCCGCTAGGGTTGATAATGTTTTGTGATGTTTTGCAACTAAATTGGATAACAGAAAAACACGATTTAGAACAAATCGCGAAATATAAAAAAACAACAGTGCGAACGCTAACGTTGACAAATCTATAGATAAACAAGTAGAATGTTTATGTTGTATTCAATGCGAACACAGCTAAAAACAAATCTTGATATCTGTTGAAAATTTTACACAGTTTTTGTGAGTGCGAACGCCACCATCAACAAAACATGTTGAGTGATTTATTTCATGCGATTTGTTTCAAAACATTACGTGTTGGATGTTTCTCAGTGCAAACGTACTGCGTTGCGAGTGAAACGCGCATGTGTGCAAGATGAATAGTTCTACGCAATGCATAAACTTCAATTATCGATACAGAGCGCTCTGTTCGTATCATAAAATATTTGTTTGAGGGAATAAAAATAAAACCGTAAGCAGCAAAAAGTTTGTGATTTTTATTTTCCACCAAAAAATTTAATTTATTGTAAAAATGTCGTAAGCTCTCCTTAGAGGTATTTAGAAATTTTGCTTCCTACTTCAATCTAATAATCAAATAAGTTTCCATTATTAATTTAATAATTAAGTACTTATGGTTTAATAATACTGGCGAATCATACATATGTATGTCAAGTATGTCAAAATATTTTTTTAGGTTTTTTCGTTTACTTATTTTCGAAACATATTTTTTTTTTACATTTTTTCCTTTCATATATTTTCGAAAAACGCTTTCAGAATGAATATCTATCTCATAAAAGTCTTGAGAGGGATAAACTAGGCCACCTACAAACTTTTTGTTTGTAAGTGACCCTTCGCTAACTTTACCATAAATTACATCTACACAGGATTCGCATTAAATTTTATTTGCGATTTTTTTCACCACGCAACCACATATGTACTGAGCAATGAACTTTACATATTCCATACCTTCAGGAATCTATGGCATAGATGATACGAAATCAAAATCTTTGTAATAGTGGAGACGAACTGTCCACTATTAACAGACTCCGAGTGGTTTTCTTTAAGGTGGAGAAATGAAACTACTGTTTATAAGCAAAGCGGAGTATGAATTTAGAATGTACTGTCGAATGGGATTCGGAATGGAATGGAATATCATTTGCATCAACCTTGCCTATATTTATATGGCTGGCTCACGATTGATTTGCCAATGGTAACAATTAATATTTTGCCTAGCCAATTATATTGCTTATTTTATGACCAATGAAAACTATTTAAAATATACAATTATCTACGTTTCGTTTCCCGGCGGAGACTTGTTTGTTGTTCACGAAGCTACGTCGCTGGACCGGGCTATATAAGACATGCAGATCGGTGCGCACGCGTAGTCGGCGGGCGGCGGCGGTGTGGAATACAGCTCCGGAACAGCAAGAGGAAACGAACTGCGGCGTTGAAGAAACGGCTCACCATTGGTCGACGGATACGTGACGATAGCGGCGTGTGAAGTCGGTGTGGCGCTGAATGATATTTGCGGCTGCTTCTTGTTTCTTTATAAGAACGTCAAATTATCTATATACAGTCCGCAGTATCTCAGTAGCCAAGAATAATTAGGAAATAAAATGTTTTTTTATTTATTCTCGCCTTCCGCGTTATGGTAGCAGCGGAGTATATCTTATTTATTCCCGTTTAGGTTTGATTAATCTGGCTGCTACATCACTCTCCCCCCAGCGAAAGCGTACCGGAGGCTTGACGACTCGCCCGTATTTCGTAGTTTTTAAAATAGGTTTCAACTGGGTTGATGTAGATGATGAAGTTTCAAGCTTCCTCGCTGGTGGTTTTGATGATGATGATGAATCCTCTGCAGTATCCTCGTTAATAATATAGGCAGGCTTTAGTCGGTCGATCGATATAATCGTAGATTTCCTTCCGGGTATTTGTAGTTTAAAAGTCTTGCTATTTCTCTCTAATACTTTATACGGTCCATCGTAGGTAGGTTGAAATTGTTTTTTCATTGCGTCGTTCCTTACAAAAACTTGTTTGCATGTTTTCAAATCTTGGTGAATGAATACTGATTTATTATTTCTGTGTGATTGCATTTCGGTGCATTTCAACGATAAGGCTTTGTTAATTGATTCTCGAAGTTTAGTTACGAAATCGTAATCCATTTCTTGTTTGTTTGACGCTGCTGAACTGAAGAAGTCACACGGCAGCCTTATGCTGCAGCCGTAGGTTAGCTGAGCGGCGCTAAGACTAGTGTCTGCACGCGGTGTTGCTCGTAGTCCGAGTAGCACTGTAGGTAGCTCATCAATCCACTTTGTATGTTGAGATAAACGAGTTTTGAGTGCAGTCTTTAATGTACGATGCCATCGTTCGATTATTCCGTTTGACTGAGGATGGTATGCTGTTGTACGCGTCTTCTGTATTCCCATAGTTTGAAGAAGTTTGAGGAATAGGTTGCTTTCGAAATTCCTTCCTTGATCCGTTGTGATGGTTTTAGGTGATCCGAAACGAGTAATCCAATTTTCATAAATTATCTTCGCGACGGATTCGGCTGAAGTATCATCGGTAGGTATTGCTTCTGGCCATCTTGTTGTTCTGTCGATCATTGTTACGAGATAACGATGTCCTTGCGGTGAAGTAGGTAATGGTCCAACGATGTCAACGTGCAAGTGTTCGAATCTCTCCGTGGGTGGAAATGTAGCTAGACTACTTGATGTATGCCTTTGTACTTTGCATTTTTGGCATTGAATGCATTGCTTCGCCCAGTTGCCAACATCCGCTTGCATTGCAGGCCAAAAGAATTTTTCAGTGATGAGTTTTCTTGTTGTTCTAACACCTGGATGACTAATGTTGTGCAGTGCATTGAAGACTTCGCGACGACATTCTTCTGGTATGTATGGTCGCATGGTTGTCGTTGAGGCTTCACAGTATATAGGTAGATGCGTCATTGGCATTGTAACTTGCTTGATGGACAAGTTACCTTGCTTCGATAGATGTTTTATGTTGTCACTATCTCTGTCTTGTGCTGCGGCGATCTTATGATAGTCGATTGATGTAGGGCACGTTACACCGTCGATTGGTACGCGACTGAGTGCGTCGGCAACTATGTTGTCCTTTCCACTGATGTGACGTATGTCGGTCGTGAATTCACTTATGAAAATAAGTTGTCTTGCTCTTCGTGGTGTTTCCGATAGTGATGGTTTCTTTGGAAGTACATATGTTAATGGCTTGTGGTCGGTAAAAACGATCAGGTTTCGACCCTCGAACGTTTTTCTGAAGTGCTTGATAGCCATGTAAATAGCGAGTAGCTCTCGGTCGAATGTACTGTAGTTACGTTGAGTATCGGAGAACTTCTTCGAAAAATATCCAAGTGGTTGCCATTTCCCATTGCTGTATTGTTGGAGAACTGCTCCTGCTGAGAGATCGGATGCGTCGCTGAAGATAGCAAGGGTTGCTTCGTGTGATGGGTGAGCGAGTAAAGCTGCATTTTGGATCGCAATTTTACAAGCTTCAAATGCCTTCGTGGCTTCATCGTTCCATTCGATTGACGTTTTATCTTTTTTCTTCGTGTTGTGAAGGTAGGCGTGAAGTGGTGCTTGGATTTCAGCGGCTTTAGGTATGTGTTCTCTGTAAAAATTTATCATCCCAAGAAAACGCCTTAGCTCTTCGATAGTTTTAGGTTTTGCATAATCGATGATTGCTCTGACTTTTTCGGCAGGCGGTTTTATTCCTTCCTTGCTGACGGTGAAACCAAGAAATTGAACTTCTTGCTGTCCAAATATGCATTTCGAAGGGTTGATTGTGATTCCGTTGTCTTCTAATCGCTGTAGCACGGTGCGTAGATGGGTTTCGTGCGTTTCTTTATCAGGGCTTGCAACAAGGAGATCATCAATAAATGCGAAAACGAAATCCAGTCCATGAAGTACTTCGTGTATGAATCTTTGGAAAGTTTGACCTCCGTTCTTTAATCCTGGGATCATTCTTGGGAATTCGAATAATCCCATTGGGGTAATTATTGCTGTCTTCTCTATGTCTTCATCGCGGACTCTTATTTGTTGGTAAGCTCGGTTGAGATCGATGGTGGAGAATATAGTCTTGTCTGATAGTTGATGAGTGAAATCCCTGACTCGCGGTATTGGGTAGCGGTCAGGAGTGGTAATAGAATTCAGTCTTCTGTAATCTCCACAAACTCGTAATTCTCCGTTCTTCTTCGGTACAATGTGAAGTGGTGATGACCAAGGGCTTTTGCTTGGACGGCATATTCCTTGCTCAATCATGTTTTCGAATTCCTTTCGAACTTGCTCGTATAGGTGTGGTGCGATTGGACGTGCACGACAATGAAGTGGTGGTCCATTGGTGTCGATGAAATGCTCAACGTCGTTCTTCGGTGTTAATTTCATTGAAGTTATTCTTGTGATACCAGGGTATTCTTCGAGGATCTTGTGATACGGTTGTTGCACATCTATGCTTCTTATTGTGGGCAGATTGGTTGCTTGTACAAAAGACTGAGATGCAAGATTGGTTTTCCCGTCGATGATTCTTCTATTTTTGATGTCGACGACCAACTGGTGATGTTGAAGAAAATCAGCACCGATGATTGGTTTGCTGACTTTAGCGACGATAAATCTCCATTTGAATGGTCGGCGTAGATTAAAATCAAGTTCCATTGTTTTTTCTCCATATGTAGGAATAACCGTATTGTTTGCTGCATAGAGTTGAAAATCTAGTGGCTTCAACTTTTGTCCTTGCTTCGGCGGTAACACTGAGATATTTGCTCCGGTGTCGATAAGGAAAGTGAGCTTGCTTTTTTTATCGGTGACGAAAAGACGGTAGGACTTTGCTGTTACGCTGGATCCCGTCGCATCGAGCGTACTAGTTAGTTTTCCGTATTCGTATTTTCATTTTTGAATGTACACGGTGCTGTGCATTTTCTTGCCTCGACCCCGAAACGTCGATGATAGTAGCAGTAAGGGGATCTTGATGTTGAGCTTATTCGACTTCTACTTGCAGAGCGGTTGCGACGAAAAGGTGATCTTCGGTGTTGCTGATTGCGCTGGTTGTACTGTTGCTGGTAAAAGGTATGATGCTGGGAAGCTTTGAGCGCGGCGACTTCGAATGATAGCTTCCGAATTTCTTCGAGAAGAAACTGGGTATCATTGGCCTTTGTTGAAGTGCCTTCGATGATCGATATGTGTGAGCTACTGCTGTTTTCGATCATCTTGTCCGCCAGGAGTGCCAGTTCGTCGAGCTTCGTCTGCGTGCTGAATGTTTCGCTGACTGCTATTACCGATCGAATATGTGGTGGTAGGTAGTTTACCCACATTAGCCGTAGTGTTCCGGATCTTCCCCCTCGGTGTTCGTACGGGGTCACCACTGTAATAGTGGAGACGAACTGTCCACTATTAACAGACTCCGAGTGGTTTTCTTTAAGGTGGAGAAATGAAACTACTGTTTATAAGCAAAGCGGAGTATGAATTTAGAATGTACTGTCGAATGGGATTCGGAATGGAATGGAATATCATTTGCATCAACCTTGCCTATATTTATATGGCTGGCTCACGATTGATTTGCCAATGGTAACAATTAATATTTTGCCTAGCCAATTATATTGCTTATTTTATGACCAATGAAAACTATTTAAAATATACAATTATCTACGTTTCGTTTCCCGGCGTGAGACTTGTTTGTTGTTCACGAAGCTACGTCGCTGGACCGGGCTATATAAGACATGCAGATCGGTGCGCACGCGTAGTCGGCGGGCGGCGGCGGTGTGGAATACAGCTCCGGAACAGCAAGAGGAAACGAACTGCGGCGTTGAAGAAACGGCTCACCATTGGTCGACGGATACGTGACGATAGCGGCGTGTGAAGTCGGTGTGGCGCTGAATGATATTTGCGGCTGCTTCTTGTTTCTTTATAAGAACGTCAAATTATCTATATACAGTCCGCAGTATCTCAGTAGCCAAGAATAATTAGGAAATAAAATGTTTTTTTATTTATTCTCGCCTTCCGCGTTATGGTAGCAGCGGAGTATATCTTATTTATTCCCGTTTAGGTTTGATTAATCTGGCTGCTACATCTTATTATTGATTTGGCCTGGGCCAATAGCCTCATCATCGTTTGGCGTCGTTATTGGACTAAAGTCAGTTGTAGTATTTAATGTATCTATAGTGCACGATCTTTATAGGTTGAGCATACCAGTATTCTCCAAACGCAAACAATTAGATTATCGCTGATTTGCACTTCCACGTGGTATATTAATCGTTTATATTCTGATGTGAATTGTCTGACTGTAGGATTGTTGCTAAATCCTCCTTTAGAACGTACCTCTAAAAAAACTTTCTATATGATCTTATGAGAGTTTATAGGTCGGAAGAAATTAATTTCCCTGACTCTATGAAGTCGACATATAGCCACCTTAAAGCTATTGTATTCGCCAAAAAACCGATAAAACGAAGCTTTCTTTGACTCTCTTAAATAGCTAGCTTATTGTATTTCAAATTTTTAATATATTTACAGACTGTCAAATTCAACTACATGATTTCACACATCACAACATTTTCAGCATTCTTTGAATTTAAATCCGTAGCTGAGAATAGAAGTAAGCCTTTCAAGATTTTTTATCACTTGAGACAGCTTATCCACTTTTCACTAGCCGTTTTTTGTGCTCTTATTTTTTTTCAGTTTTTTGTTTCATATCTAGGCGTCCCCGAAGAATATCAATAGATTTCTTCATTTTTTTCTTTCTCGGGGTATTGTCTATATCAGAAACGTTTGCAGTAGAGCTACTGGGTACTGGGGTTATAACTCTGTAGACCTATGAGGATGTTCTGCGTTTCGGCTTCAATACAACCTACAAACAAATATAATTAGTGTATATATTATGTACTTATCTATGACTAAAATGAATAAAATGAGATTTTAACCAGACTTTTACCTATTCTTGTCACTAAGCAGCAGTGCTTACAATGGCGCAATCCGACCTGTTGAGTATAGAGAACCGTTATAATTATAAGCTGTAAGGGTTTTTGTCTTTATCTTCAGGGATGAAAACACATTTGTAGCTTTCTTTATTATAAGCTGACTGTAGGTGACCATATTGGGCGTACTGTAGTAGCCGTTTAAATTAAGTGATACTGTAAGTTCCTTTCTTACTTTCGTTTAAAAAATAGAATACATAGATGATGATGACCATTTGTACACATTTGAACATGTGCAAATGAAATGAATATGTGTACAGTAAATGTATATAATTAAGAAACTACGCACGGGCATAAATAATCTGGGTATTGAACCAGAACGCAGCTTTACTCTTTGAGCACTTCTATGAGAAAAACATTTGAGTTCAAAGTGCTTGCTACATATAGTTGTATATTTTTTGGGAACCCAGTCTTCTTTGTTTATAATTTTTAACCACATTTGTTTAACCT